ATTTTTTACTTTTTGCTTCTTTTTTTTCTATGGATTCGAGAAGCCCACACTTCAAACTGTTTACATGCAAAGTTTCAGCTTCTTCTGTCCAGTGGTTTCTTTTGTACTTGGCCATTCATCGGTAAACTTTCCAAATGGGTCACCCTGTATATCACTCATGTCACAGAAAAATTATATCGAAGAGTTTTGCAAAGAAAAGAAAAAAATGACTATCTTGAGATGCTCATTCTTTTATGGTTAAAACATTTCTTTAATTTCTATCCACAAACAGTATCTCAACGATTTATGTTTTGAGGATGTTCAAAGAGAAAACATTTAAAATATCAGTGATACCTTCATCCTTCAATCATTCCATCCGCATTTTCTCATTCATTATCGTTCTAATATTGCAGGCGAGAAAGTGCATATATATCCAGAATGTCGTCTGACGGAAAGCGGCGAAGAATATGTTGGAAAAGTGAGTGTGACGGAATCAGGAATGAAATGTCTCAAATGGAGAGACTATCCCGATGGAACGGGGGATGACTACCAGGGCGGCCCACATCTTAACTTCACGACCTCTGACCCCTCTGGAACACCAATCATCAACCTCCGTGAAGAGCGCTACTTCCTTAATCGGGACTCCTGGTCTCACCACAACTACTGCCGGAATCCATACTGGGGGAAAAGACCCTGGTGCTACGTTTCTAACCGTAACATCACATGGGAATACTGTAACATCCCCATGTGCACTAACACAGGTAAAATATTGCTGTATTTTTCACGTATTTTTAGGGTGAATAATTGACAAAGTTACGTGTTTTCGCATGAGGGAATGAATGAATCAGGTAAGAATAAGATGATCCGTAGTATGCTAGTTAATAACCAATTTTATGTCGTAACACCAACATATTCATTGCATATGTTTCCCGTGTTCCATGTAGAACAAAATGTTTTCTTTTTCATTGAAATTCATGTTATTTTCACGATTTCAGCCTTAAAAAATCTGGAATCAAAATGTTCTAAACTAGTCAAACTGATAAATGACATTCATGCTCCATGAAGTTAGTCCAGAAACATGCGTTTTCAACTCATTCTTATGAATTCTTCCAGATATTATTGGCTCATATGTGATTGTTGGCATGATTAGCGAATCTGTTTTTCTTGCCCTCTATAGGACAAGGAACGATTTACAGGCGTTATGTTCTTTGGAGGCAATTTTGACCTCTGCCCTCTCCAAAGTTAACTCTTGTGACTTGGGATAACAACGACGATTCCCATCTCTCTCACCTTTGCGCTAAAAGGTCCAATGAACTGGTGGAAACATTGTTGAGCCACTCACGCCATACGGAAAGATATGCGTAAAGGAAGGTTAACAACGCGCATACTACCAGAAGCTTCTGCTTCGTATCATCTTCTCTCGTTCTCTTTTTTGCTCCTGGCTCGGCATTACAAATCTGGAAACGGCTCTTATTGTCTATTCCCGACCAAAATTCTCTGGCATGGAATCCCCCTCACACTTTTATTTTGGGTAGCCATAAAGTGATTACCTGGAATTGACACGTGAGTGCCACCCTTTTGGGAAAGAATGCGCAGAGTTGTTAGATTCTGTAGGAATCCTCCCATGGCCGCCACGGCATCCGCAGGACACTCACAAGAAGAATATAAATAAAAATCCTTATTAAGCGTTGACAACCCTATCTATTTTTACGACCCTTCCCATTATGGGCGAGGGCAAAACCTTAGAATTTATTGCCCGAAACCTCATCCGTCAAGCTTTTTAGCCGTCTTTATTCGGAAGTATCCGAGAACTTTGGTCAGGAA